GGCGGCGGCGGCGGCAGGCGGAGGGGGGGGGGCTCGTCCTTGCTGAACGGGGTTCCTAGTGTCTTTGTCCTGCGCTGGGGATGGGGGTGCCGCGACCTCAGGCCTTTGGGGGAGGTGACCGCTCTCGGTTCCTGTCCCTAGGCTGGCATCACCGTGAGGTCCCCTTTTTCTTCTCCCGGGGGGCGGGTAAAACACACACACACACCTCCCCAGCCCTTTGCATTGGGGCCAAGGCCACAGCCCGGCTCGGGCGCTCCCTCCCTGCCCCATCTTCTGTGGAATTAAGACGTTGGGCTGGAAGGAGAGAAGGACAGACGTGTGGACAGAGATCCCACCTGGAGCGCGGTCCGGAAATGGGTGGGACCCGGCTGGCCGCGGACAGGTGCGGCGCCGGCGGACGCGTCCGACTGGTTTGCCCCGGGCCGCGCGCTCTCGCCCAGGCCGGCTGCCCTGGCGCCTGGTCCCCAGAAGGTGCCGGCTTAGAATAAGTCCTTTCCCATGGCGCTCCTCGAGGCGGCGGCCACGCTGGCCACACCGGCTGACCCTAGACCTCAAGTTTAGAGTCCCCCAGGGCCATCTGAGAACAGAGGGGGCGAGGAGGAGGAGGAGGGGCTAAGGCCGGTGAATGGAATGGGGTGGAAGGAGGAGGAGGAAGATGCGGTCTCCCCGCGCCCCCCCCCCGCCCCCTTACTGAGACCTGGGCACGCGGCCAAACCCTCCCCTCCATGGGGTGGAGGGCAGGTCTCTCACTCTGTGGCGGGGAGGTCTCGGAACCTGCTCCTGCCTGCTGAGTCAGAGTCGGGATGCTGTAAAGAAGGGCAAGCCTGGGCCCAGCTTTCTGCCGTGCCCCAGGGCCTGTTGACTTGTGGACATTACCCAGAGCCTTCCTCCCTCCCTCCCTTCATTCATTCATTCATTCATTCATTCACAATGTTTGTGGGCACCTCCTGTGTGCCAGGGCCTGTGCAAGTCCTTGGGAGGGGCCTGTCCAGGTGTCTGCCCTCCCCCAACTCATGTCAGCAGCAAACCCAGAAATTATGGTAAAACTGAGAGTTGACAGGTGTAATAAATTTATTGTGGGAAAGACATCGCCAAGGGTCCTGAGCACAGAGTTGCACCTGCACCCTGTACTGAGCAGCCCATGCCAGCTAGGCAGCCGCCATGCACAGAAACCATCCTGGGCCAGGGCCCTGTGGGAGGTGGGAGCAGGAATCCTGGGTGTTGGCTGCTCGAGTTCAGGCTTCTTGTCAATGAGCCACTCCTAGTGAGCACCGCTGGGCAGGGCAAAGCTTCAACTCCAGGTGCAGAGCCGGGGTTCAGCCGATGAGGATGGGCAGGCAGGCCACCCGAGGGCCTCCCACCACACAGCGTGTCGCAGGCAGGTCCTATGTGTGTGCCCTGGCTTGGTGTGGCTTGTGCCGAGGCAAGGGTGAGGTCAGGCTGTCCCAGGGCAGCCCTACTGGCTGTCAGTCTTGGGCTCCTTGGTGGGCATATCTTCTCTCTAATCTCAGCAGAATTGGTCCTGCTCCCCAGAGCAAGGGGGTTGGACTTGTTTGTTCTTCATCTCTGAGCTAGGTGGGGTTCTCAAGACAGCTCACGGTGCTTCCTCCTGCCTTCAGGGGCTTGGGAACCCTAGTTGGGAAAGGGGCTCCTTCCTCAGTGGAGGGGAGTTGGGCTGAGCAAGGAGAGGAGCCTCTGGCTTTGCCCCTGACCACTCTGACCAGTGCCCTGTTCCACAGCCACTGCCCACTTCAGCTTCTGCCGGACCCTCCTGGAGCACACAATGTCAGCTGAGAGCATCCCCTGCCACTTGCCTAGGACTCCAGGCTCCAGCCTCACCTGGCATGACTCACGAAGCCAGAGGGCAGCTGGTGGCCGGCCAGTCAAGCTCCTGCAGCAGCCTGGCACAGAGGCCCCCCAGGTACCCAGCTATCATCCCCATTCAGCCCCGGCCCTCCCCACCAGCGCACTGCATCTGCTGCCCTCTCCCCCACAGGGCCGGCTGTACTCTGACCACTGTGGCCTGTACCACACGAGCCCCTCACTGGGTGGTCTGACGAGGCCTGTGGTCCTGTGGAGTCAGCAGGACGTCTGCAAGTGGCTCAAGAAGCACTGTCCCCACAACTACCTCGTCTACGTGGAGGCCTTCTCCCAGCACGCCATCACCGGTGAGGGACCGTATCCCAAGAGAGCCTGTTTTCTCTTGCTACCCTTTCCTTTCTGTCTTCTCCTGACTCAGCCTCTCCTTCAGGCCTGTGTGTCTGCAGAATCTCTCATTGTCTCTCCCAGTCTCTTCATCTGGCTTTTCTCTGCAAAGTCTCTATCCATCCTTGTCTCTCCCTCTCTTTCCCTGTCTCTCTGAATTGACCTGTCTCTGTCCCCCGCCATCTCTCTCTCTCTAACCCCCTTCTCTTTCTCTCTGTTTCTCCTTCTCCCTGTCTTTGAGTCTGTGCCTCCGCTCCCCACTTCTCTTTCTCTGCCTTCGCTCCTGATCTCCACCAGACATTGACCTGGGCTCGATCCCTTTCCCCATCCCTCCAGGCCGGGCACTGCTTCGGTTGAATGCAGAGAAGCTGCAGCGGATGGGACTGGCACAGGAGGCCCAAAGGCAGGAGGTGCTGCAGCAGGTGCTGCGCCTACAGGTGCGCGAGGAGGGGCGGAGCCTGCAGCTGCTCAGCCAAGGTCAGTGGGAGGAGCCGAGAATGCCTGGGAGGCTTAGAGAGGTCTGGGGGATTGGGTTGCAAGTCCCCCACTCTTGCGTGCAGGGAGGGTGGGTGGACCTCAGGAGTGTGGCCATGGGAGCCCAATAAGGGCTCTCCTACACCCACGGTGGTGTGGACAACGCCAGCGGCCCCCATTCCTCCTTACCCATCCACCCATAGCTTCCTTCGGACACATGTCCTAGTTGCTGCCCGAGGCTTGAACCCCAGACCCCAGCACTGTGACCAGAGCCCGTGGCAAAGATGAGGCACAGCCCTTCTCGGACCTCCAGGAGTCCCCAAGGGCCAAGCCTGGCCCAATGGAAGGTGGGACCAGGATTGTCACCTCAGCCACCTCTGGTTGTGCACTGTGGGCTATGCCTGGGATTGGGCGGGTGGGGGCTTCCTGAGTGTATGCTCACCTCCCAGGACCTGGACCCAAGCCCAACCCCTGGTGCTGCTGGCAGCATTTGGGGCAACCACCTGGAGCCAGAGCGGGGTTTGGATGTTCCCCCAGACTCCCAGGGAGTGTTCATTTATATTCCTTCACTCACATCCTCTGGGCATCCTGTCCTCTCCCAGGACGAGAGAGCTGTCTGCCACTCGTCCAGTTCCACACCCTCCCAGCACCTGGAGGACTACCCACAGAGGTGGGATACACTGCCAGGCTCTGTGTACTATGTGCCCCCTCCCTGCCCTTGCTCAGGCCCAGCAGGCCCACCCTGCTGTCCAGGTTATGGTCATCAGTGTCCACCGGCCAGGCACCCTGCCCAGCACCTTCACTCATTATTTATGAGTCCCTCACATGCCTGCATCTACTCATGGGAACTGAGGAGAGGGAGGTCCAGGATTGCCCAAGAGCCTAGGACCTAACAGGGCACGATAGGGACCCACACCAGAACGGGCAGGTGGCATGAGAGGGAGGGACCCACACCAGCACGGGCGGCCCGATCCTGGCCTTAGATTTGGGAAAGCTTCCCTCCTCTCAGGCTCATGGAGCCACCCTGAAGGCACAGTGATGGGCCGGCATTCCCACTGTCCCTTTCCAGGGAAAACCTGGATTCTCATAAGAGACGTCCCGTGCTGCCCACTGGAGACCCAGCCAGTGGTGACAGGCATTCCCAGAGGGCCTGCGGTGGGGCGGGGCTGCTGGCAGAGGGTCAGCCAGGCAGTCCTGAGCCTCCTGCCTCCTGCTCCCTGCTTGCCGCTCCTCTGGGGGACTCAGACCCTCCGGCAGACGAGGCTGAGCCCCCAGCCTGCTCTGTGCCCTGAGCTGGCTTCAGGAGGAGGCTGGTTTCAGGTCCCACGTGGAATTTGGATAACTGGCCTGGTGCCCAGCCCCCCATGGAAAGTCCTCTGTCCTGTCTGGCTGCCCTGAGTGTCCCCCACTTTGTGTCATTGCAATGTCACCCTTTCCAGAGGGCCCTCCCATCTCTGCCCCCTTCTCCCTCCTTTGTCTTGCCCCCCAAGCTCGTCTTGTCTTTCTTGTTTTGCGTTCACTTTTTTATATTCTGATAAAAAGACCAGAAATAAACCTGGTTCTCAAGTGCCCCAGTGTGGTGTCCAGTCAGCCTCCTTGTGGGGTGGGGCAGCCCTGAGCCAGAGCAGGGATTTCCCGGCCCAGCTGCCTCCTGCCATGGCCACCAGGTGGCAGTGGTGCGGCATCCTGGCAGGCACCTGTTCATCCCAGGAAGGAGGGGGAGGAGCAAGAGCAGAGGCTGGGCTCCCACCTGGTACTGCACCTGGACACACCAGCACAGGCGAGCTAGGCTCCTGGGGCTGCTGTACAAATGGCAGCTGGGAGGCTTCCCACCACAGAAACCGATTCCCTCCCAGTTCTGCAGGCCATGGTCTGAGACCCGCAGGGCTGGGGGGACCCTTCCCAGCTCTGGTGGCTACTGAGGATTGCTGGGCTCAGAGACACGCCACTGTGTCCAGGACTACACGGTCACTTCGCATTCTGTCGGTCTCACGTCTCCCTCTGACAAGGACACGTGTCACTGGATTTACGGCCCACCTGGATAACCCAGATGACCTCATCTCACGACCCTTAACTTAATCACATCTACAAAGACCCTTTTTCCAAATAAGGTCCCATTCATAGGTTCCAGAGATTTTTTAAAAATATTTTATTGATTTTTTACAGAGAGGAAGGGAGAGGGATAGAGAGTTAGAAACATCGATGAAAGAGAAACATTGATCAGCTGCCTCCTGCACACCCCCTACTGGGGATGTGCCCGAAACCAAGGTACATGCCCTTGACCGGAATTGAACCTGGGACCTTTCAGTCCGCAGGCCGACGCTCTATCCACGCCAAACCAGTTAGGGCTCCAGAGATTTTTTTTTAAAAAGATGTTTTTATTGATTTTAGAGAGAGAAAAGGAGAGGGATAGAAATATCGATGAGAGACATCGATCAGCTGCCTCCTGCATGCCCCACACTGGGGATTGAGCCGCTACCAGGCATGTGCCCTGACTGGGAACTGAACCATGACCTCCTGGTTCATAGGTTGACACAACCTCTGAGCCACACCAGCTGGGTGGTTCCAGGGATTTGATGTGGCTATCTTTTGGGGACTCCCATATAGTTTGCCACAGGGCAGTGCCCTGACATAAGAAACACGGGTCATAGCACATGCCCTGACACATGTATGCAGGCAGCAGCCAGATATCAATAGTAACTCAGAGGCATAAACCAAACCCTGCAGTCCGAACACACAGACACAAACACAGAGACACAATGACACCAACATCCAGACCCATAGCAACACACTCCAACACAGCATCTCAGACACACAATGACCCCAACCTACAGAACCAGACATGCTGCAGCCTGAGCATACATCTGCCAGGTCCAGACATCTTCTCACCTACTACAAGACACAGATACACCCTGACACTGATGTCCAAAGAGGATGCTGCCCAACATACATGGTCACTCAGACACACACCCTGACACATCACATACAAGGACATGCAGACTTACACAGGGAAAGCTGACAGCCTTGGATGTACCTCAAGGCACGCACGCCGACCTCTCCCAAAATCTTGTGTGTCCCGTCCCCAGGGTGGGCAAGGTCAATGAGGGAAGGACATTCTCTCTTCCTGTGGTCACACAGGCCTCGCTCTGATTTCCAAGGGAAGGGCTGACGGACTGACCCCTCCACAGAGTGCCCCCACCTGGCCTCGGCTTCATGGTGAGGCCTTGGCCTTGAGGAAGCAGATCCCCAGGGTCCCTGTGAGAAGTGGACCTCAAATGTGCCATCTTTTGTGCCATGCCCCCCAGCAGTGCCAGCTGAGCCTGCTCCAGGGTGGACAGGGGTGGGGGTCAGTGTGTGTGGGGGATGCAGTGTGAGGGTGGGGTGGGAAGGGCCTCAGGGAAGGAGGTGCACCTTGTAACTTCTTTTCACTAGCACTCCTTCCCCTCTTTCATTCATTCCCGCGTCCTGGTGGGGTTGCTGTCCATCACCCCCACACCTGATACCAGCTTCCCTGCAGGGGGCCAAGTTCTGGGGCACAGAGGAGCGGGGCAGTGGCCACTGTCCAGGCACACCCCGTCCCAAAGCAGACAGGCTCGTCTAGTCCGTGGTCAGCAACCCGAGGGTGGCCACAGGCAGAGGTGCCCAGGCTGGATGGAAGAGGCCGGACTCTGCTCTGCAGGCCACGGCCGCCACGGCCAGCTCAGCTCCCAGGACCC